CTGGTAGTGAAAAGAGAATGAGAAGACTTTAGTGAGAAAAAACAATAAAAGAACAGAATTGAGGAAAACAGAAAATGGTTATTAGTTTTTGAAGATTAAGGTAGCAGGGAAGTAGGAAACTAGAAGAGTTCCACAGGTGAGAAGTTTTAGAATAGGACTTAGAATTACATCTAGCTAGCTTAAAAGTAAAAAAGTGAGACCTTGGTGTCAATCTAGTAGTATGCTTAAATTCATGTGGTGGAGACACAAAAAGAACAATTGCCATGAAAATATTTATAGAAAAGACAAAGGGAAGCCATGTCATGGCAATGGGAAAGTGACTGAAGCTGAGATGTCAGGTCAGAGCCAATAACATTACAGATCTATCTCTGAATTTTGTCAAGAATCTCAATATATATAGCAGTAGCACCAGATCAGATATGGCAGCAATATTCAATGCACAGATGAATGGTAGATGTATAAATGTGCAAGATGGATTTTTATGAGAAAAATTCTCTGACACAACACAGTACACCAATTTTCCTAGTAGTAGAATTAGTAACTGATTCAATATAATCACTCCACTTTGAAACTCATCATTTAAAACCTTTTCAACTTTGTTGCATTATTTACCAACTCATATCTATTATAAAACCTTTTGTAGCAAAACAAAGAAAACCATATTGTATATATATATATATATATATATGATCCATCATAAAATATATTTGTGTTATGACTCTTATATATATACTGTATCCAAAATATATATATATATATATCTATTTATATAATATACATATGGAATATAAAATGGAGTATATATGTGTCTGTATGTAATATATATAATATATATATTAAAACCTATGTATATATATATATCATTTATATATATATATATGTATATATATATATATATATATGTCCATATATATATATGTATGTTTTCTCCATATATATGTTGTATATACATTGATATATATATATATATATTTCCATATGTATATATATATATATATATATATGTATGTATTATATATATTTATATATATATATATATATGTATATATATATGTATGTATGTATAATATATATATATATTTGTATGTATATATATATATATGTATGTATATATATATATATATTTTCTATATATATATAAGGTAAAATATAAATATTATATATTTATAATATATATATATATAAATGTTTGTATATATATATATATATATATTAATGTGTATATATTGTATATATATGTATGTATGATATATATATATATATATAGGTCATATATATATATATATATATATATATGTATATATATATCATATATCATATAGGTGTATTGATCATAGTTGTCTCTTTTTTGAAAATGCAACATTGGTGATAAATTGAAATGCAAATTGGTTCCTGATGCACTCACAACTTTGCTTGGCTGGTCCTGTTGTTAGGATGAGTGATGACAGAATACCTAATGTCCTCATGTATAGCCAGCTTGACAAAGGACTGTTGGACAGCCATGGCTTAAGTATAAAGACAAGCTAAAGAGTAATCTTTCAGCTGTCAATGTGCTCATACTAATTTTGAGCAACTCGTCTTGGATAGAAATAACTGGAGATATTTGTACTAGTGTGGTATCAGAAATTTTGAAATCATTTGTATTGATCAGCAAAGAGATGAAAAACAAAGACAAAAAGCATCAGCAAATATTTCTGGGGCTATGTCCTGAGATCCTCACTGTTGCACGATTTGGTGGAGTTATATGCAGGTCACTAGTGGGACTAAAGTATCACATAAGACACAAACATAAAAACTGAATGAGGTTGTTGGATCCTCATGTCAAAATCAATGCGAGAGTTCATAATCATAATGCTACAGTTCAAAAGTAAGAAGCCACCCCCATGGGATGAACTTGACAGAAGAATGAAACCTTTTCATTCAAAAAATTAAAAAAAGCTCTTAGGGTCATTGAAAAAAGAATGGAATCAAGTATCAAACTATGAGAAACTTTTGTAATGAATGCCAAAAATCTTTGATGAAGTAATCCAAATTAAAGGAGGATATTTTGACAAGAGCAAAATTTAATTACAAAATGCTTTTGTTCTTTTTATCATAATAAAATTTCTAATAAAAAAAATCATGTGTCACTTTTTTTAAACCATGTATAATAATTTTCTCTTATTTAAAGTACAAAACAACTACTTCTTGGGCCAGTTTAAATAATTACCAGGAGTGACCTCAAATTTTTGAACTCTAGTGTGTGTGTATATAATATATATATATATATATATATATATATACACACACACGCACGAGTTGAAGATCAAATGTAGATCAGGATGATAAAAGAATAGGAAATGTATGTCAATTTAACATTTCACTTTTATAAAAGCTTTATCAGAAATCGAGAGAAAATTGTGATCACAGAAATTATCTAACAGCCATACTGGGTTTTCCTGCTTGCATGGCATGGGTCAGAGCCATGTTTTCAGACATAGGATCTTCCAGCAGCCACCCTCTTGACCCAGGGCAGCGGTAACCACTCAAGGTACTTGATAGACTCATCCAACTCTTTCTGAATCCTCTGCAATGTCCTCAGATTTACACCCAAACACTACAATGTTTGTATTGGAACTTCTGGCATGAAGGCCAAGCAGTACAGTATACTGTTTCCAAATTTCTGGCTGAGTGAATTGTGTCCTGGTATTCTTTTTCTCACAGTTGGTACCCAACTGATTCTGTGCAGTCAACAAAATCAAAAACGATGCACATACACGAAATTAAAAATATAAAATGGTGATAAAATGGTTACCCATCACACCCAGTGTGTGTGTGTATATATATATATATATATATATGTGTGTGTGTGTAAAAGACAATAGGAAAACTGTAATATTAGCTGATGCGTTTCATCCAATGTGGACTTTTTCAAGGCAAAAACGAAATGAATTTATTAAACAAAGTAACTAATAACAAAATGTCCTTAGCAACTGGAAGAATTTAGAGAACGCTATTATGTGACATTTTCCACAGCCAAATCGAAGATTAATTACCAGTGAATAATTCCATGTGCAAACAATAGCCATCTGGATCCTATAATGTCACCTGAAAAGGTCCAGAAGTTTACTGATTGATGGAAAACTTGTTGCGCATAATTGTGTTTTTGATGGTCAGTTTCCATTATTTCATCTTGATGTTGTCATTTTTGGACAGCCAAGTCATCAAGGATTCAGGAAAAAAGTTTGGCACAGGTTTGCTTTAAGAACTTTACATTCTATGAGATGTTTAAAATGTTACTGACAAATGGGATTTTTCGCCGAATATTTCGTTTACACACCATGTTGGATTTTCCTATATGACAAAAACACAGGTTTTAAACAGCCATGATACATGACAGTACTGGACATAATTTTCATTTAACAGTATGAATATAATAGCATTCTTTAAATTCTTCCAGTTGCTAAGGACATTTTGTTTTGTTATTATTAGTTACTTTGTTTAATAAATTGATTTCGTTTTTGTCTTAAAAAAAGTCCACAGTGGATGAAACGCGTTGGTTAATATTACAGTTTTCCTATTGTCTTTTACATTTATAAATATTGTCTTTTTCTACAGGTTAACTCTGAGAAATTTTTCATATATATATGTGTGTGTGTGTGTGTGAAACTAATTTTCATAGCTTTACTTTGAAGTTGTCTTGGCTTGCAAGTCCATAAAATATTCCCAATCTGGCTGACTTCCCCCAAAAATGTTTATTATTATTATCCAGTTTAACTAATAAAATATAAAACTAGGTTCATGATAATCTGAGAACAGATCTAGAACCATTTACCTGATGAGAATGCCTAAGTAGAAAGATAGTTATGAAATGCAAAGATGAGAACATATTCTAAACAATATGTAGATTTATGAATTACTTAACTCCACACCGAACTGACTTAAAAACTATTTCCTTTCTCATCTCCAATAATGATAGGAATATATTTAATCTTTCTAATGACTACTTTGATGGTATTATCATTTCTAGTCAGTCAACCACAATTATTGCTCTGTGTGTTTTAATTTATGAAGAATCAAATACAAAATGATGACATATAATGCTGAATAAAGTAATATTTCAAAGATGAAAACTGAAAACTAATGTATTTTTGTTGTATTTTACAAATCATAATTGCATTGATAATCTCTTCAAGTTGGTTGTCTCTCCTTGTGTCTAGTTATTTGTAATTTGTCTGCATCTCCATCAGTGGAAGAGATAATTTTCTATAATCATTAATGCACCAAATATTAAACTAATGGATTTTTTTCATCTGGTATTATAAAAGTTATATTTAATGGGTACACATGTTTGAGTAGATATCACTGTTTCTTTTAAACATTTTAATATCTACCTGGACAAATTTATTCTGTATTATATTTTCAATAAGACCACTTCCAAGTTTAGTTTGCCTGTTAGGCTACATTATCAAAACAAAGCTTAATTTAAATAAGGTAATTGATGTTTGTTTTGCTATGAAGGCTTCCTATGACCTAATAGTAAGGTACAATTAGCTTAAAAGTAGTTTGCCTGATTGAAAAAGGAATACAGGTTCAATTCCTGTTGGGAAACACATTTTTCTTTTTGTAGGACTTCTCAATAACTAGTCTGGTAGAGTTTAATTTTACTGTATAAAAGAAACAGGGATGTCTCCTCAAACATGATCCCACTAAATATAATGCTTATAGTAATAAGAAATCCTAATATTGTCTATATAAACTGAACTTCTCTTTGTATATTTCTTAACATGTTTTGGCCAGTTCATTCTTCAGCCCTAATCAGGTTTATTCTATGATGAAAAAACAATTCTGATTAGGAGTGGAGAATGGATTGTTGGAAATGTGTTAATAAAAAAAAATACTAAGAAAAATTCAGTTGTCCAAATTGAATTGTCACTTATCCAATTACCCAAATACTATTGGGTGATACTGATAATTATACTACTTCTGTTTTATTTTTAATTCAATTTATTTATTGGCAGAGGTTTTCCTATGGGTATTAGTCAAGGTGTAATTTCAGGAATGGTTCCTGGACAGATGATAGGTGGAATGCAACCCAATGCTCGGCCTCCTGATGACCAAAAGAAAGGTCGGCACTTTCATGAGCAACAAATGAAACTAAAACTACTTGGGACTATGGGAATGACTTCTACAGACCCTGATCGTATGATAGAATCCATGTTTGGAAAGATGTCTAAATCAAAACCGAAACCCGCAGTCACTAACACAACAGGTATAGAAAGAAGTTTTATAAAATATCATTTTTCTATGAATGCTTTATTCCCATAAATGTCTGAATGATGCCATATTGAAAACAATACCATTCATTGGAATATTCTTTTATACGATAACTAAGGCATTGCCTGTTATCTTATAGTGCTTTATTATTTCTATAATGGTAATTTTATTCATGGTAGATTTTTATTTACAAAACTTTAATTTATCTTTTGGTAGGCATCAATCATGGTGTAATTAAAGTTAATTCAGGATGACAAAAAGTGATATTAAAAATAGTCTAATCCTGCTTTAATTACACAAACATAATTTTTATTTTTTATTACTAAGTTTATTTATTTGCAATTAAAACTTCAAAGAAAATATTTAAATTATTGCAATATGTTTGAAAGGATTTTATGAAAAAGTCTGATTGTTGCTGCAATTTGTCTTTGGCACCTACCTAGTTGAAATGAGTAACATAGATTATATAGTTTTATGTGGTCATATTTTGGGGTTATGTATGCGAATATGAAAGATATATTTGGTCTACATTCTTCAATATGAACACAAAAATGGCATAACCTTTTTACAAGTGAATGATCACACACACTGGGAGTTCAGGCTAGATTTGTCTTTTTTTTTTTTTTTTTTAGGGAAAATAAAGTGAATATCTAAGTCAAAAATCAATTTATTGGAAGAATAAACAAGTGGCATATAGGTTATAATAATCAAAAAACAATTCTCTCAAAGAAGCCATCCTCAGCATTTACCATGGCCTCAATCCAACTCTGGAATCTGGCACATGCGGCCTTCAGTGTCCCTAGAGAGAGCCGCAAATGTCTCCTTAATCCTGTTGATCAGCTGACTCTTGGTGTTACAGGCAGTGCAGAGTGGTTGGTGTCTTTCTCAACCATGCCCCACACATAAATTGGATTACAATCAGGGAAGTTAATGAACCACACTCTGGGTGCTGGTGAAGTTGTAAAAATTATCTGACAACCAGTTCTGACTTTGCCTAGTGGTGTGACAGGGAACTGATTCTTGCTGTTACACATATGGTCTTCCAGCAGCCTCCCCCTCTAACCAAGGCTTGACCACAGTGTTCAGTGGTGTTCCACATAGCCATCCAAATTGGATCTGAGACCCTGTTCGAAGATATAAGGTGGCATGACATCACATCACTGGAGATTTGCCCAAAAACCATCAAAACTTGGGGAATCTTGGTCTTCATAACATGAGGAACATCATATGGATTGTAGGCAAGCTATCTGTTGTTCTGGGTGTGGTGCAGCTGGCCCTGACAAAAATTCTTTTCATCAGAGAAAAAACAAATTGCCCCTGGTTCAAGAGAATGTTTCACCTTGTTCAGAAGTTTCTTTGCCTTTGTCAGACAGTTTTCTTTTTGAAAGAAGTTGGCAATTATACCTTTTTTTTATCATTGCTAGCAGAGATCCTCATTTAAGTCCAGGTTCATGGTGGAAATTGCAGCACCCATTTCCTGTGCCAAAGCCTGCATTCCTTGCTTGGGTCTTCCACCACCTTTCCCCTGTAGTTGTTGGATGAATTCTGGCATACAGAGGTAATCAGAACCTCTGCTATGTTCTTTTCTACAAGCCATGGTCTCCATTGCAGCTCTCCTATTTCACGTCTTATTGTTTTCATGATGTTCAAGGAGCACTGAGCAGCTGTCATGATTGCAGAATTTTTTATGCTCTTGGCACAAATCATCATGATGCAGGTTACCCTTTTTCTGATATTCAGATGGCATCCACTTGTTCATATCAGTTAACTTTGACGCCTCTAAAACTGTAGTAACTAAGTGTCACGAGGCTGTTCACAGATATTCCAAACCAATCAGAAAAATAAAAAATATTAAACTGTCAAATTTAGGCCAAATACCCTGTATATACAGGAGAAACTCATTAGATCTTGCATGATTTTTGACTTGGCCATGAAGGGCAGTGCTGAATACTGACTTTTAAGTGCATCCATCTTGTTTTTTAGATTGCCAAATCCATAACTTTGTATCTGGAATGTAAAAGCAATTTCTAATGTTATGGATTTTTTTTTAATCTTTTAATCTAACAGATTTTAATCACTTTAAATATTATTTTTAATGGGTAGCCATATTTGAGTAGGCACTCTATTTATTTTAAACAGAAATATTTCTCATATATTCAGGCCACTAGATAAAAATAAATATACAGTTTTGGTTATAAAACTGAGAACTTAAGAAATTTGGTAATCTAAAAAACTAGAAGGATGCACTTAAAAGATTGTATTCTCATGCATACATATATATGTGTGTGTGTATATATGTGGTGTGTGTGTGTGTATATATATATATATATATATATATATATATATTAAAACATTTTTATGTTTAACATTCTTTTTATAGATACAAATATTTAAGTAAATGCTCTGTTTATAATAAACGGTATTAAACAACATTTACCAGCCTGAATGTCCAAGAAATTTTCACAGAAAATATTCGTCTTCCAACAGGATTTGAACCTGTATCCTATACAGAACCGTCAAAACTTGTATAACTTGTCAAATGAAAATATTTTCCATGAAGCAAAAATTAAGTATGAAACACTAAAAGACATTTGGTTTTTGGACAAAAAATGTCCAGCACCAAAGAAATATCATGTGATTCAGCACACCATATTATAAAATGAGGAAACATATATAAACTATTTATCAAATTCATTGATAAACTGAAGAAAATATTCCACAGATATGCTCTAAAGCTTAACTGTACTGAAAACATTACAAATCATAAAAAACACAACAGAAAAATCATCGCAAATACCCACTACATCTACCTGTAAGTTGAGAAGAAAATATGAATGACAACTAAATAATAACTGTCTACAAAGTAATGCGATATACAAAGCCATGGTAAGACATAAGGGAAAATTAGAAAAAATACATATAGAATAAGAGAAGATTGTTGAAAACAGAATCTACACACATAAAATGTAATTTAACAATAGAAAATATGCAAATAGAATAACTCTCTCAAAGCATATATGGTAACTTAAAAATACAAATCAAAACACATGAAAAATAGCATTGAGAATAAGAAAAACAGTGCTAGTTTACAAAAACACCTCAAAATTATGCTAACCTTGCCTGGATGAGAAAATAGCAAGATTACCTTTCTAGAACAAAATAAATTCCTGAACAAAAGATCAGAATTCATTTCCAAATAGACACTAAAACTAAAATCCTAATATATTACCTAAAACCACATTAAGGCCATAACCTAAATCTAACAGGCTTTATTCCTAATACCAAAACTTAAAAAGTACACAAAAAAATAAGAGCAATATATAAAATAATATTTAACTGTATAAATAAGCAAGCTAAAGATCATGACCATGAATAACTGTAACCAATTTATATATACACTTTCTCCAACCAACATAAATAAGCAATTTAGTGGTCATGACCAAAAATAAACCTAAGTATTAACCATAATCAAAGGAACTGGGAAAGGCTTCTTTCCTCCTTCCTCAAATTCTTTTAAATTCCAGTGACTTATATATAAAGTCTACTAAATGAGTAGTGGTATTTAGTTTGAAGATTGCAGTGAGGCAGGAAACTGACAGTTACCATGCAGCTGGGCAGTGTTGATTCCCATGTCCACACTATATATTAAACTATTTGTATGTGTTTATTTCAATCTATGTAGGGAATAACTGCAAAACACTTGCCTCTCCCTTTTATAGGCAGAAGTACACAAATGCATGCTAGATATTTTTCTTAGCCAATAAAAGACTGGTTTGCAGTTTGACATATCTCAGTCCAGATCTGCTGTTTCAGGCAGTTTGAACTGACAAAGGCAGAGAGGAACCCAGATAAGGCTATGCCAAAGAGCAGAGTCACATCTAAGGAGGTGGACCCCGTGTATGTGGGGTCTATGGGGAATTTTTGCCCAAGCCTATGGGCTTGGAATTGCCCTACATAAAAAAACGACCTTGTGCCACATCCTGCTTTGTGGGGAGGCCAAGGTAAATAAACTCAGTCCAGATCTGCCTTGTCTAGAAGACAGACCACTGTGTTTATTTGTCCAACCTTGCTTTTGTGTATTGACGCTAATTCTTCATTTGTGAACTTTTTGCTGCCTTACCTGTTAATTTACTTTGCATATATTGTTTGTTTGCTTGCTTGCTTGATAGTGTTTCATTTTTGCTTTGTTCCTTTTTTCTTTTTATTGCAAACTTTGTTAATTCTATTTGTTGGACAGTTCTGCATTTATTTTGCATTTGACCATGGCTACTAACTGAACAGTATGAGGCTGATTTAATCTGAATTCCTCAACCCTGTTTTGTTCTTTTTGCAATGTTTCTGTCATTTGCCCTCTAATCTTCCTTAGGTGTTTAAGTTCTGGAACATTTAAGAACAAAATATGCAAAAAATAAAACCAACAAAGATTAGAAAATTAGTGTGAACCAAAAATATACAATAATTTTAAACTATTTGTTAAAGAAATATAAATACTCTGATTAAAAATAATTTAGGTAAAAACTTTAGTTCAAAGAAAATTTAAAACATTCAAAAGTTAAGAAATGAAAGCTAGTAAGCAAGACATTGCCATAAAATAGTATATTAGTATGTATGTTATAATGGACATGGTTTTAAATGATGATTTTAAAACATTTTATATAGTATATTTTTTTCAACATTGAAAAAGCCAAATATGTTTTGAACAATTTTTTAGGAAATGCTAATATTTGAATTTAAAAAAAAAAAAAATTTTTAGAATTAGACAGTATAGATTTTGTTTTCATAGATGATTAGAAATAAATTCTCAAAAATTGTGAACTAACAATTTGTAGATCCCAACAGAAGCAGTGTGACTCATGTGACCTTCCTGGTACTGGATATCAGAGATGGAATTGGAAAGCAGAGTTCAAATTTCAGCTTGTCTTGTTACATTCATTTTCACACAAATACTCTTAGAAAAGGCATGAATCTGCCTCCAATACCACCAACTATGGATTAAATTGCAGTGTAGAATGGGCTCTCTATCTTTGGGTGGCAACCACTCTAAGAAAAGGAAAACTTTGAATCCCAAACTGTGAAGAAAGCAATAGGAAACTACTCATCTATCTCAAGAATGCATGGAAATTCACAAAGAATAAAGAAAAAAGAAATTGAGCACAGTAGTTGCCTTCATCCTGAAGGGATATAGCATTAAACAGAAACAGTAAATGAATGGCTGAGTAGAGACAAAGAGAGAGTCAAATGTTATTTGCCGTTAAAAGATATGGAAAACTTGAAGAGACATAACACTTAAAACAAGAGTAGAAAAAAAAGGATTCTTTGATATTCTTATTTGCCATATTGCATTTGCAACATGAAGAACATTGTTGCTGCCATACAGTGAAATCACTAGTTAACTTGCTTGATCAGACAAATGTCTTTTCTTTCTTTCAATGCATTATTCAAACAAGTCAATTACTCAATAAAATATTATACACCTTAATAGTTAGTCCCAGTGTTTTGTAATAAAGAATTTCTTTTGAAATCCACCAAATACAGAACTTTAGGTTTAGATGTTGAAGGCATTCAAGGATCTGGATACATTTTTTCAGTTATGATTCTTGTAATAAATCTATTTTTCATTGCTTGTGTCGCTTCTGTCCAAAAATTATATTTTTTCTTGAGAATGACAGGAAAAGCAAGTCTGAATGTTATTTCTTTTCATAACCTATTTTAATTTCTGAATTTTTCCTAAAACTTTTAGATGATAGACAACAGTTGAATGATTAAACAAGCCAAAAAGTTCTGAGTAAATTTTCAGACATTTGTAAAAAAATCTTTCTATCACAGGCAAAAACTAGTACCTAAAACTTTTACATCATCTAATAGCAGCTATAAAGGAATGCCAAAAAATATCTTGGTCTAACCCACTTTGTAATATCAGCATTTCGGTGATCAAACTTTAGAATACTGATATTTGGGAAATTGGTTAGACTGAGAGGTTTTAGAATTCTCTTGTATTCTTTTGTTAATTTTATTTTAAATCTTCAATTAAAAATAGTAACAAAATAAAAATATTAATTTTGCTATTTTTAATTTTCATTTTATTTCAGCCATTGATAGTGACCCAGACAGTTTTGGAGATTTTATGCAAGGGCCTTCTTCAACATCAGATTCAACATCTTCAGACAAACATGGGTCAGCTGATAGTAAACTTGGAGTAGAAAAAAAGAAGAAATCTAAAACCACTATTAGAACAGCCTCTAACACCAGTAGTAGCACTAGTAGTAGTACCAGTAGTAATACTACTACTGCTACTAACCCCAATTCTGAAGAGAAGAAAAAAACAGATGAGAAAAAAGGTAAATACAATTATTTAAAATAAGATATAAAAGTCATTGTTATAATTTATAAAAATGTTATATTTCTTGTGATGACTAAAACTTTTATCAAATCAGTTTTTTAAATTTAGTTATTCCCTCATCTTATCTCTTAGGAGATCAATCAAGAATCATTAAAATATTTTTCTTTTATTAAGTTTCTTGCTATAAACATAGCCAGCAAGAAATTCTCTTAATACACTGAGCAAACATCCATAATTTGGCAGAATTCACTCCTAAAGTTAGTTAGATTGTCGCATAAAAACATGTATATCTAAAGTATATATTTTACTATATAGCTAAAATCCTTGCTAGAGAGTACAGAAGAATCTTAATATTTTTATAAAAGCCATTAAAACTCCATATTTAGTTCAGAAATATTAAAAAAAAATATCCTGAAGAAGCAACATATTTACCAGAAGATTTAGATTCACATAACTTTTCACATTTTAGGTATTACTAGTGAGACTAGTAAAATGTGTAAAAACAATGATTATTATACAAGTAGAAACTATATTAGCTGATTACTGAATCAAAATCTTTATGAATACTAATATTCAGCAACAGTTGTTTTTATTTAGTCTTGTGTGAATTATATATCGAAAAAGTATCATATATAGGAATGATGCACATTTAACATATATATTTTAAAATAAGTTTCATTTTTTAAACAACCAACTTCCAACTGAAACTTTCCGTTATTATATTCTTGTAAATATTGGATGGATGTGAAACTTCCTGGCATTGTGCAAAGTTAGAAAGTCAGGCAAGATAATTTGATGACTGATGATATATATATATATATATATATATATATATATAACAAACACACACACAATGTTGGGTGTGATAGAAGGGAAGGAGGAGGATGTGAAGAAGGAAGGAGAAGTGGGGAAAGAAGTAAAGCAAGGGTATAAATGTATCAGTGGTGGGGTTAATTGAAATGTATTTTTTTTTGTCTAGTTTTTAGTTTATTTTTTAAAAATAATATAGTATTCATTAGTTTTTTAAAAAATAAAGTGTTGGGAGGTCAGGCGATAAAAATCACCTGAGGATGCTGTAAGGTTGAAACCAAAGTAGCGGTTTCAACTGATCTCCTAATTTTTAAAATATATATATATATATGCCCTTGGGAGAGGTATAAATAAAAAGTAGGATTGACAGGGCTATATAGCCTTAGTTGTCAACCAGTCTAAGAGAAGGGAAACTCTGAATTCAGATCAACCTGGTACGGTTGGCAAAGGGTGGATGAGCTACTTATTGGAGCCAACATGCACCTAGATGGAAAACTCAGTAATGTTTAACCTTTGTCTCCACAAAAAATGGTGCATCAAAAGGATGGTTAATCCCTTGACACTCCCATTACACTATTTTGTGTTTATTTGGGCACTCTTAGCGCTGTTTAATGTTTTAAGAAGCAATAATTAGAATTTTAATAAAACCTAAACATATGAAAGTGGTTTTATATATTTTCTTTATTCTTGAGAATTGACAACAATGATATTAAACACTATTTATTAGATTGCTTATTTAAAAGAATAATTTTATATTCACAAGATTATAAAAATATGTGAACCAACTACAATGAAATATTTATTGTTTACTATTTTACAAAGAAATAAATATAAAAATAATTTTTTATTCATAAATTTATAAAATGTCTGAACAAGAAAATTAAATAAACACCTAACAAGATACTACTTATTTTTGGAAAAAATGCATTTTCCAGGCTATTTTTTTTCATCTGCTCTCGGCACATAAATTCTGTAAAAAATGTTGAAAGCTTCTCTTCTTCAGAATCAAACATTCTTTTAATTTTGGATTTTAGACAAGCAAAAACACTCAATATTTTGTATGTGTATCTCAAAAATTCATTGGATGGACAAAGTTTTCATTGTGTATAATTACAGAATGTCTGTAATTTTTACCACAAATATTGCATTGTTGCTGGTATGTGACATTAAGAAGGCACTGGTAAATTGGGGGAAAAAGACTTTCAAAATAAACTAGAAAACAAGACGAAAAATGATATTTTTCAATAGGCTAAAAGTATACTGATAAAGACAAGGAAAATGTAAGAAAAGGATATTTGTTTTCTTTTCTCTCTCCACACTGGGTTTGAGATGCTGATGACGGCTAATGTAAAAGCCATCAGGTTTTGGTCAACTTAACCTTAAGCGATGGTATTTTCTTAAGTGTCCAATCGACCATGTGCTGAAGAATAGATTATATTTTAACAACCTCAAGTGCTGAAAGGGAACAGTATAGAGTGTCAATGGGTCACTTATTGAAGGTAGTGGGTAATGAGAAGGCCACCCACGATGGCTAAAAACAAATCTCTGGCCAAAATTTGGTCACTTGATTTGGATTTTAAGACCGACATGTTTCCAATGGGAAAAAGAAATGGAATTGTAGTTATATTTTTTTCTCATCTGCTTAAGACTAAAATTTATTAAAACAAAGGATTTGTCTCTTTGTGTCAGTTGTTGACCAAAGAGCTGGTGCAGGAAAGTGACAAACAACAAATCCCAGATGCAACTGACCCCACAAGGACATGATAAGAACTGCCATGCTGATGGAAATTTTGGATGATAATTGAATTTAGTAATTTGGGGATAGACTACATCTAGCCTCTGGGGGACAGGTTTGATCAAGAGACAAAGAGAAAGGTAAAGGCCCAGGTAGAATTTCAAGGAAGGTGGAGGAATCACCTGCATCCTTCAGGTGGTGATAGTGAGAGGCACCCACATGAGATGAAAGAAATTCTGCCACCACCAATCTTTGGTATATATATATATCACTTTAAACTTTATTTTTAGTGGATACTCATATTTGAGTAGAAACTTCATTTTATTTTGTCTACAACTCTGAATATTTGAGAAATTTTATTAAAGAAAAACATGCTCCCCATTAAAGGAGAAACTGTCATTAGATCAGATGTGCTTTAACCAAGTCAACTGCTAAGAGCATCATGATTAAGCAAAATTCCTTTAAGCATAGCTTTCTTGTTCAGATTCCTGAAAGTTCATAAATTCACAATTTCATATTGGAAATGCAAAAAAAGCAATTTCTAAAGAAATATTGGTTATTTTTTATTTATTAATCTGACATATTTTTATCAATTTACACATAATTTTTAGTCGATATCTATATTTGAGTAGATATTTATTTCAAACAGTATTTAATTTCTTCTAGTGTCTTTCATTAATGAAATAAAATATTGTTTAAAATAAATGAAGTGTCTACTTAAATGTGAATATCCACAAAAAAATGTTTAAAGTTATGAAAATACAGCAGATTAACAAATAAAAAAATATTATTTTCTTAGAAATTGCTTATATATATATATATATGTATAATTACATTTTTCAAATAAAGAAAAAGAAACTTGCATCGACCTTATATTTGAAAGTTGTTGGAAAGACATAGACACCAAGAGAAGATGCTTAAATGACTGAATAATGATGCTATGATTTTATATGAATAAATTATTTTGTTCACAAATACTAGTAGCTTTCACATAAAACCTGAAATTGTCTGATTATGACCATAATTTTCTTTTGTAGATTTAATGGCTATGATGCTTCAATATTCAGACCTAAAAGTATCCCAGAAACCAAAAACATTTCAAAAGAAAACACTTAGGGATGTTAACCCCATCCCCACATCTACTGTAAAAACCACTTCATATACAACCAGTGAACGGTCACGAAAATGGGAGGATGTTGATGATACTTTATCTGGACTATTTAAAACAGAAGGTGAGATAGGTTTTATTATTTCTTTATTATTATACATTAGTACATATAAAAAATTTCCTCATCTTTGTTGTCTTTATTATAACGTTTTTGTCATTGTACCCTCAGGTGTTCTTTCTATCTGAATTTCTCAGATGAGGTGTTGGTACTATTATACATTGATTCATTCAGACCAGTTTCCTCATCTTTGTTGTCTTTATTATAACATTTTTGTAACTGTACCTTCAGGTGTTCTTTCTATCTGAATTTCTCAGATTTTGATTGTTATTGAGAGAATTATGTATTCTATATTTATTTCAGAACAAATTCAGTTGCCATTACAAGATTGTATGTGTTCCCACCAATCTCAGCAGTTAGCCACTACACCAGATAGTGGAAACACTACTCCAACTGTATCTCAATACCCAGCTGGACCATTTCAAACCCTTCCAGCTTGGTGTTACATGGATGATGAACAATTGCCTCATGTTTACAGACAAGTGTATGAAGCATCTTCTGCGTAAGTTATCCAAACTATCTTCTTGCATTTTCTATACAATATACTGAACTGTGTATCATTTTGCTTGTGCTTTCTAATTTTCTAAATTAAAAGAAGTTCAATAGTAAGTTTTTCAGTTTGTATATTACCTTTGTATGGTATACTAATTTGTATAATATACCTTATAACTTGTTATGTCTTATATTTAACATCTCTTTAGTATATGAGCAATTATGACTCTCCAAAACTTCTCATCTTTTGTAGCTCTTAGTAATTTTTGTTTTTTTTAGTATCCTTATTTCCTGTTTTGCCATCCATTTTCTCAAGTTTACTTGCTGTTTCCTTCTGCCCCTTTTGTCTTTAATATGTTCTGTGAGTGTCAAATTCTCCAAGCATTCTTTCCTCATATGTGTCAGAAATTTCAACTCTGTATTTCTAAATACAAATATCTATTTATTCTAATTTTGTTTAGAATCTCTTCAAAAAGACGCCTGCAAAAAAACTAAAAAAAAATTAAGAAACATCAAACTTTCAATAAAAACAAAGAAGAGTACTGAACTGCTATGTAATATCAATTCTCTTATATGGCATAGAATGCTGGACAGTTTCTCCACAAATGAAGAGAAAAGTTGAGGCAACAAATGTTCTACAGAAAAATGCTGAGAACACCATGGACAGAACATGTAAATGATGGGAAGTTTTAAGGAAAATGAAAACAAAAAGGACCTAAAATAAGGAACAGTTGAAATTTCTATAATACATAATGAGAAAAGAAGGCCTAAAAAATTTGACACTCAAAGGACATATTGAAGGCAAGAGGGACAGAGAAGTGAGTAAGCGACCTAACAAGTTTATGTAAATGAACAGGGAAGTGGGATGAATAGTAAAAAGACAAACATTTCAATGAAGGATTGGAAGTTATGGAGAGTCATAATCACCCACGTCCTGAATTGATATGGTATATACAAGAAGGAAGGTTGCTAAGGAAATCTTGTTATGAAAACCTGTTAGTAGCCTTTACTTCTCTTTAGTGGTAGTTGATTCTGCAAGTGATGAGGACTCTTATTAATGAATCTCTGTATCTGCTATGCCATGCATCTGTGCTTCAAACTTTGCTTCTTTTTTTTCTTTTTTTTTTTTTGCAACATTTCTTCAATGACTAAAGGTGTTGACATTCTTGAGGTTTGAATATGAAAAGTTGCTACAATGCATTTTGAGAATCGTGTAGAGGCATTGTTGGGAAGCATTCAAGTAAGTGGAGATGGTGCTAACAGATAACCCAAGATTCAGTGCCATGGTGGGGAGTGGGCAACATAATTTAAAAAAATTTTTTTTAATGATGTTCTCCTTGTGAAAGGCCCATGAGTCAATCAAAATAGAGGGTTACAGAGTAATAGGCACCACCCCAAACAAGCTGATAATGCCATCAAGATGTAAGGGTCCATCAGATGTGAAAGAGAAGGAAAAGACTTTAGAAAGAACAGGAAACCAAATCCTAAACAGGGAAGAAAGGATCAACTTCTACAAAAGGCCAGGAAGGAATGTGAACCAGATGATAGGCAAATGTAGCTATACTTCTATTGAGAAAAAACTGTAAATAAAAGTTCATAGCTTTAAGCAGAAACATTAAAAGTGTAGAATTGAAGTAGACTTTAGAAGAAACCAGAACCTTAGTCCTAAACAGGAAATAAGGAATAAATCTCTACTTCTCTTCTTCTATTGTATATTAATGCATTAACACTTATCTATCTTTGTATGGTATGTTTTCATTTAGATTCCTATCTATTTAATTAAACTAATCTTTTTACTGTTATTTTTTGTTTTGTATTCCTAGAAATGATTGTATTCTGACTGACAGACTCTATCCAATCTTACTACTGAGTGGGCTACCTCGACAAACCCTCCGTGAAATTTGGGAAGTGTGCAATATGACTACCCCAGGACAACTTATGAAACCAGAGATGTACTTTATGTTAACACTGATTGCTATTGCACAGGTATATTATATTGTAACATTAATAATTTTAAATAAACGTTTATATTTATAATGTAATGTAATAATACTCTGAGATCTTTTGATTAAAGGTTTTTTGAAACTGAAGAAAAGATGCAGCCAGAATTTCATTTTTTTTTTCACCATAGAGACTGAAATTATGATGTAACATGAAATATTTCAGAAGTTGCATTCATCTGAATTTTTAAAATGTAGTTTTATTTTGACAGATGCAATCAAGTTTTTATATGAAATTGGTTTTGTGTTTTACATATAAATTGCAACTCCAGTAAGTTCAATAATTTGCGTTGACAGTATACTGGTGATAAATCTGGCATATATAACTTTTATTCATATATTATATTTAAAATATGGATCTTTGTGTGTTTATGTGTGAGGTTCTTGCATACAAGTGATTGAGGCCATCTGGCAGTTGTCCATGTCTTATCAGGTGGATTCTATTTGTTTTGTATACATAAAGTGTTCTCCAATATTTAGAAACTCAAGCATGCACAAATCAAATCTAGTAAATGTAGTAGGTAGGTTTACTGCAACTTTATATGAACCAAGATGCAAACAACAGCAAAATAACATCATCTATAAATAAACTTGCTTCACCAAGACATCTACTGAGGATTAGATGTGGAAAAATCCTGAAATTCTCAGTACAGATCGAAATATGTAAACTATTTTATTACTACTACAGTGTAACCCGGATATAAGAGAGTTGTCGGGACCGGAGAAGAAGTCTCTTATATCCGGGTTTGGTCTATTTTGTTTAGGTAACACAGGCTCTAATTTGGGACCAGAGAAAATATCTCTTATATCCGGGTTTCTTATATCCGGGTTACACTGTAATAATAAATTACTAATACTAAATAATGAAAGATGTGCATATACATGTATATATTTGGTTAAAGACCGATAAAAGTTCTTTGTTAATGATGGTTTCATTTTTTTCTATTTTTTGAACTGTTTTCCTGGTTTCAGGTAAAGATTTTTTTTTTAAATTGACCATTTTCTTTTATCTTTCATAAATCATTGCACAACTACAACATGTATGGTGCCAATTAACTTACCATTTTATTTAAATTGCATAGCACCAATCAACACAAGAAGAAATCCAACAAATTCTTATCAATAACACTGTACTGCCCTCTGATATCTTATGTGTATGTGTACCTCAGGCTGCCAGATAAATGTGTTATTGGCAATTAAAACTGAAGACAGTCCTGTTCATCATCAGGTTTACTGAAAACCAAAAGGGTGAAACCAGAAAAAGAAATACAAACTTGAGACTAATTTAGTCTGAATAACAAAATAAATAAACATTTAAAAAGAAGGGAAAAAGTAGAAATATGACAAAGTGTGCTGTAGGTTGAATGTAACAATGAGACTTTAGGTCTAAATGGATAAAAAGGATACCAAGTATTTACTTACAGGAATATGTTATAAAGTTTACAATAATAAATCTACAGAATGTTACATGAACTTACATTATGACATAGTGTGAGAACAGTCAAAACTTTGTCAAAAGGGTTTTACATAGAGAAATATAACAGCAAAAAATATATACAAGGTGGCTACCTTAAACAAATTTTCAAATATTCAAATAATAATGTATTAAGAGAGACCATTGCTTGGGGGTAAAGATTAAGAAGTTACATACTGGTAATGCTCTTGTTGGGGGTGGGTGATTTTTTTAGGGGGATAAGAAATTAGGAACTGCATGCTTTGACTCTGTAGTTTATTTTGCAGATACCTGTAATTACTATAGGGTAAACAGGAAGTGGTCAAAACGGTGACTAAAGGGTACTTAAATTAAAAAGGTAATGAACAAGAGGGAAATAAAGCAATAGAGGTACTATATACCATAGTAACAGAACAAACCCAATAATAGTATATCATATAAAATAGTATTAAAAAAGCAACTGCAAATACAAGAAACATTAAGTATTGCAAAAAAAAATTTACAAAGCAATACGCTTGATGTCTTTCCTAACAACAAATAACAAAAATAAAAAACAAATGACAATGCAAACTGATGTATGAAGGTAAAATGTTTCTGTAAAAGAAAGTAAAAACACAATGGTGGGTATGAAAGCAGAATATTTGAAAAGATAAAATTGTCATGGTGCAAAACAATAACTCCTTGATAACAAAAGCTAAAACTACTCATTTAAAATATGATTCCAAATCGCTACATAAGAGGTCTCATGTTTCAAAACAAGAGCCGAAAACTTCAATATAATCCTTTAAATTAAATTGAGTTGAAATTAAAATGGGCTCCGTTCCATCTTCAAGCGAAATTTTTTTGTTGGAATAACGTATATCTGAAATTTACTTGTTTTAAAAATTGAAATCAAAATCCCCATGGTAACAGCTAGGGTGAATTGTCTAAATTGGGTAGGCGAGTGTAGGGTGTTTATAATAAGTAGCGGTATAGAGATACTTTCAAGATGTCAAGTCAGGGAAAGGTGGGGTGTCAAAAATGAAACGGAAGATGTATTAACCATCGTCTAGTTTGCTTGTCTATGGAGATTTATTTATTTTTTTTATTTTATTTTATTATGAAAGGGAATTGTGCATATAAAAAAAAAAAAAAAAAAAAAAAACGTTTGTTTTTTTTTTTGACGACTTCATAAAGGGTTATCTTTTATGTAAGGTATTTAAACTACTAATTTGGGCTATGGATTATGAAGGGTGTTATGTTGTATGCATGTTTGTAGTTAATTATTCCTACTATGAATCTGATGATTGGGCTATTTGTTAAACAAGTTATATAAATTTTTTTTTTTTTTTTATCTAATAAATTCAAACCAAAATCTGATGATGCCTACAAAAAATACGTTAACTCGTGTCTATTATTTAATAGATTATTATTATTTAGAAGTTTAATAATGTGCAATTTTTTCATGGATCTACAAATGGGTCATCCCAAGCTTTATATATTCTATATTGTCAATAATTTTCCATTTAACTTTTGGTGTCTTATTTGTTTCCTTCAGAATGCCCAAAATATTTTGATATGAAGTCTGATTTCTTTTGTTTATATTATTAAAGGAGCAAATATGCTTAACCATCTATCTTTAAAATTTTCTTTGTGGAATTAATGTATATCATATTAGTGCTTAGGGCTTTGTGGATGAAAATCAATAAAATTGATACTTCAGAATTAATACAACATTTATTTTTTAATTTACTCAATTTAATTTAAAGGATTATATTGAATTTTTTTTATTTATTTAAAACATGAGACCTCTTCATGTAGAAATTTGGAATCATATTTTTTTTTAAATAATTATATTTATGCTCTACTTTTTATTTTGCACTATTTTTTTTTTAATAATAAAGCTGATACTAATTTTTTTGATAAAAATCATTTTTACCTAACCAGTTCCTTCTATTTTTTATATATTATCACATTCATATATATATATATATATATATATATATATATATATATAATATTCATATATATATATATTATATATTATATATATATTTATTCATTTTTTTTTAACAATGTAAATTGTTTGTATTTGATAGAATTTAAAGTGTGCAAAAATCTATTTGTATATTCCAAACATATTTAAAAAAAGAAGAATTCAAGTCAGATATATTTACATAATTTTGTTTTAAATTATAAAATTATTCTTCTGAATTTCAGAAAATTATTGGTGTTCCTTAAATAAAAATATTCTCCAAAATTTACAAATCCCCATTTCTTAAGTCAGTCAATTTTCTATATAATCCAATCATCTTTCATTATGAATACAAATGTTTATTGCATAGCAAGTTAAATCATAAATTTCAAATCATGGTTACATATATCTACTATCATTTCCCACAAGAAATTATTTCTGCCTGCTCTTTTATTGTTTCAACATCCTTCTCCCCTTAAAAAAATATGCCTCTGGGTTGTTACATTATTGGTTAATCATATTCTTTTTTAATCATCTATTTTCTCTGAAAAAATATTATATATATATTTTTTTATGATTGTATATCTTTAATTGTCTTTTAAACTGAATTCATACTGAATTTTTAATTGATTTATGTATTAGAAATTTTAATGAATTTTGTACAGCAGAACAACAACTATCACAAATTAAAAATTTGGTTAAAAAGAGACAAGTAATTGCTTTTAATCTAAAAAACTGGAAGCTGTGGAGATAAAATGATTGCCCAGATTTTAATAAAAGGACATATAATATGAGAAAATTTAATCATCTTAATTTATTATTAAAAACAATGACATTGCTGTTGGAACCCAGTAAAAAATTATAATTTTTGAAAATTTTATTTTTAAAAATGCTTATGAATCAATGAAAAATAAAACTATATTCTTATTGATATTTTTAAAATTAATTAATTTATAAATATAAAAAATGATTTTACATAAGTTGAATCTCCTTTCAAGAACATGTTGAATCATTTTAATTTTATCATTATTATTTTTTTATTTTTTGTTGTTGTGCAGGTCTGACACCCAATTTATGAATACATTTTAAAATGACCTTAGTTTAGTTATGCTTTTATAAAGATAATTTTATCAAATAACAGCTAACGAATATTTAAAAAGATGATTTTCGTTTGTGATTTTCAGGCTGCCCCTAAAATAACGTCTGGTAAGAACAATATTATTTCTACTGTTTTATTATTATAGGTATGCACAATGTTTGTAAAAATTTTAAAACTATTTTCTATTTTATGCCAGAATATTTTAGATGAGGAATTATTATTCTATGACTTTTCATTTAGACTAGTTTGCTCATCTTGCTTGTTAGATGTAACATTTTAGTCTCCAACCTTTTCAAACAATATCTAATTTTTGCATTCTAACTTTTTCCAAAAAATCTTTATTTTTTTCCTCCTTTTATATGTAATTTTGGATAATAGTTATCATTTTTTCTTTCCATGTGTCAATTAATTCTCTCCAGTTTAGTCTGTGTTGCTATATATAAAACATTTTTATT